CATAGGCTCGTGCACAGATTTACGTTCAATAATCCCAGGGGCTTTCACTTCGACACGTCTTCGCTCGTGATCGCTTAGAGCCCCTCTTCCATCAATAGGTACTCCCAACGCGTCGACCACACGTCCTAGCATAGCCTTTCCCGCAGGAACATCCACAATAGATCCAGTGCGCTTGACAAGATCTCCTTCCTTAATAGCAGTATCACTACCAAAGACAACAATCCCTACATTCTCATTCTCAAGATTCAAGGCTATTCCTTTCACACCGCTGGCAAATTCCACCATTTCCCCAGCTTGAATCTCGTTCAATCCATAAACACGTGCAATCCCATCTCCAACTGAGACCACTCGACCGATCTCATCCACTTGAAAATTCGTGTAAAAGTTGCTCATTCTACTTTCTAATAGACTCGTGAGTTCCGCAGCTCGGGGAGAAAGTTCCATAATAATCTATCTAATTATTAGAAAGTAAAGGGAGAATGCCGCTTTAGAAAACCGTAATTGACCCGGGTCGATCATGAGAAAAGAAACTAATAAACTAATAGAAATAAGAAAAATAGAAAACAAAGATAGCAGAGGAGTGGAAAGCTAGTTTAACTAGTTTAAGGAGGCTATCTTTCCTGAATAAACCTATAGTGAAACGAATAAAGAAAGATATTTACTAATGAACATTATATACGTTTCAGGGTTCACACACAAGTACGACCAAGTGCCCCCACCTTGCCGCCTTACTTCACTCAGCTATAGCCCCATGCTTATTATCTACTTAAAGACTCTACATACATGCACGGGAGTGAAGTTGGCTGAACTGCAGGGATTTCTCCGGGTGAGCTACCTTAACGGATTCCTTATTATTGATAGCAAACTCCGCCTTCTGATTAGATTAGTTAGAGGAACATTGTTGAAAGAGGAGAGCCGGTCTTGCGCGCTAACTCGTGAGCCGACCTAGGCTCTTAAAGACCAGCCTTTCACTCAGTCAATCGATGATTTTTCTTAGAAAGATTGCGTAATGCTAGATCCATCTTCGGTCCGAAGCCGATAGGAAGGAGGTAAGTTCAGATAGAGCTATTCCTACCATCTTTTCTTATAGGTTACTCTTTGAACTCTTAATTAAAGCACTGGAAGAGAATTCTTTCTAAAGGACGGGGATTTACGTGTATTGCTTATGCCCGATTTGCCCCAACTGAGAGCATGAACTCCCAAACATCGGGAAAGAAGCATAAAGGGAAATAAAGTAACAAAGTCACTTGCCCAGGAGCCTAAAGCCATTCGACTAGTTGGAAAGGAAATTGCTTGTGAAATTGAAGAGCGTAAAGCAACTTGGCCGAGAGGGTAAGGAACGACCAAAGGGAGTCGCTAGAGAATTCGTTTCAAATGAGTTGACAGAGAACAGAGATTCGTTTCACTATGTTCGTTGAACATAGTTCAACTCATTTCGTTTCAAACGTTGAACTATGTTCAACAACGAACAACGAATTCTCTAGTGACTCCCGTTGGTCGTACCTCTTCGATTTTCGTCTTGAAAGAAGTCCGGGCGCTTTTACTCAGCTTCCGGAACTCCTCAACAAGAGCCTAAGCCCCGGCTTGGTCCTTTGCCTGGCACTTGAAATGAAATTTGCATTCTTTGTTTTAGGTTTTAGTTAGGAGTTTGACTTTATCGGGAGTGGATTTCATAGCGGAGTCGAGAACTAGCAGCTACTGTTGGAAGATGGAATTGTTTACTTCGCCAACAGAACCTCGACCTAAAGTAGCTCTAAGAAGAAGTCGGGGGGCCTCTAAGGTAAGCTGCGTGTGAGCAAAGATTCTAAGTGCCAAAGAAAANAACCGGGTATTCACTCGCTTGAAAGTCTACGATTGTTTGGTCTTCCCTCTTTTCTTAACTACTCCAGTCTATCTTTGCCCTGCCCTGAAAACGTAACCATAGTTCTAGCAAGCATGGACTGGCTTATCTTTCAAGACATGGTTGCAGAAAAGGCTAATGCCCTGACTCCAACGGTGCCTACTCCTTCAAAGCCGAAACCGGTCACAGGATTCGTGAAAACAGAACGAGAACTGCTTCTTCTACTTATAAAAGTTATAAAAGAGAATCTCTCTTGCTTGGTCAATCAATAAGGAAGCATTTCACAATAAAGCATCCACCGGATTCATTGAACTTCTAAAGCATTTACCTTTCGACAGAAAGCATTTTCACTCGAGCTGAAACAATGGAATCCCCCTCGGGTCCGGGAATTTAGTCAGAACTGAGAGCCATTTCCCTTGATTGATGGAGTCTGCCTTTCTTCTTCTTTCCGGCTTAGTCGTAGAACGTTGCTAGACTCACTTACTTATATCCTTTTATCCTTTGGTTTTACGGTTTTTCCCTTAAAATATGGAAATATGGATTGAGAGGCATTCTGGGCCGACTACATGCGCATCTAGTGCAGTGGCTTGGAAGCAAGCTACCTTGACCATCTTCCGAAGTTATAAAGAATCTACTGATCAAAGGCTGTAAGGGCGGACT